TCTCGTAAAAGACCGGCACCTTCTAACATTCCAACAACAACCTCATCTACGAATATACAATCAGCAACAAATGATAAAGATACTGATTGGACAGAAACACCCAGAAAAAAACCTACGCTAAAACAAGAAAGTCGTGAAATTCCAAAGTAAGTTTTATAATTAAAAATTAATGTGTTAAAATAAAAATAGTTAAAACAAAAGTATTTTTTAAAAATATTATTTATTTTTTATAGAGTACAAAAAATTGAACCAATAGAGAATGAATCAACTCCACAAAAACGAGCAGCAAAGCCAAAAGACAGTCAAGAACAACGGAGGAAACAACAAGTCCATTCTCGAATGCAAGTCTTATTATTTAGACATAAAGAACTACTTAAAAAAGATATTTTAAAAAAAAGAGCATTACTTGAAAAAGAATTACAAATAGATATTCAGGTATACTATATTAAATATGTTTTTTAACAAGTCAATAATAATATATATTCATCTAAATTCATTTTTATTATTTTTTTATTGAAATTATAGAAAGATTTATCGGCGGAATTAGCTTCAAGAACAAAAGCAGAAAGACACAAACAGGATGAAGTAAAAGTAGGAAGTGCAAAACGTAAAGCAAATGCTCAAATGGCTCAACAAGTTAGTCCACCTAATAGAGGTGGAAGGCCAAAGAAATATAAGGCTCAAGGAAGTAACACTACACCACCAGGAGCTTCAACAGCACCTACTACGAATAGAATCAAAAAAGAAAAATTATATTGTTTATGTAGAACACCATATGATGAAACAAAGTAAGCATTGAACAAAATTTCTTTCTTTAAATAATATATATTTAATGATTGTCAAATATTTTGTTAAATTAGATTTTATGTGGGATGCGATCTCTGTAACAATTGGTTTCATGGAGATTGCGTTGGAATCACAGAAGAAATGTGTAAAACTCTTTCAGAGTTTGTTTGTACAGAATGTAGACATGCAAGAGATACACAAGAGCTATATTGTTTATGTAAACAGCCTTATGATGAATCTCAGTATGTAATGATTATTATTAATTTATATTATTATATTTATTTTTTTTAACAAAATTAATATTTTTATTTGTATAGATTTTATATTTGCTGCGATAAATGTCAAGATTGGTTCCATGGTCGATGCGTGGGTATTTTACAGTCAGAAGCAGACAATATTGATGAATATGTTTGTCCGAATTGTCAAAGAAATTCTTCTGTTAACTTTGCTAATATGAAAAATCTTAACGCAAAAGATCTCGATCTTCTTAAGAAATTAATTAAACAAATACAGGTAAGAAAATTACAAATAATAATAATTATGATATTTTTAAATTGATTATCAATATTAAAAATTTAAATAGGCGCACAAAAGTGCTTGGCCATTTATGGAACCAGTAGATCCAAATGAAGCACCAGATTACTATAAAGTTATAAAGGAACCGATGGGTAAATTAACACTATATATATTATATAATTAATTATATAGTTAATTAATAATTAATATTAATTTTTGTTGAATTTAAAATTTAATATTAAAAAAGATATATCTCTATATTATTTTTATTAATTGTGTTTACAGATTTACAAACGATAGAATTGAGGATAAATGATAGATCTTACAAGAAATTAAGTGAATTTATTGGCGACATGACAAAAATATTTGATAATTGTCGTTATTATAATCCGAAAGAATCACCTTTCTTTAAGTGTGCAGAATCTTTAGAAACTTATTTTGTTCACAAGATTAAAAGTTTAAGAGAAAAGTTTTCTGAAGGAAAGTAAGCAATCAAAAAAAGAAAAAAAAAAGAAAACTGTAACTATAAACGAGTGGAAGTGCTAAGCATCAATGGTTAATTTGTGCAACAACAGAAATGATCTGTGCCAGTAGAAAAGAGACATTCAAATTAGCCATAAGTATGTAAGAGTAGGACATATATAAGTTCACTATTTATTAGAATTGTGTGAACAATTTATTTGCCTTCGTAAAAGCGAATATTATTTGAATAATGGCGTACAGAATTTTGAACCAGAACTTATAATAATTTAGCTTAAAATACATACAGAGTCTAATAAATATTCAAAAAATATTATGAAATTTTATATTTTCAAAAAAGTTTATTATAAAATTATAAATTATGTTCAAATTTGAAATAATATTATATATATTATTTATAATAATTACTTTCATTGTTTATTTATATATGATAATAAAATATTAATTTTTTAAACATATATTGCTTATATAAATTTTTATTAACAAAATAAACAGGAAATATTTGATATGAAAATGTTATAATGATATGAACTCAAGTGCATGAAACCATAAAATTTAATAAATATAATAAAATAATATATATATATATATATATATTATATAAACATATACATATATATATGTATATATATATATATATATATATATATATACAATGTGCAATATAAATTTATTTATTATATTTTATATATGAAAAAAATGATAAAAATTTTTATAGAGAATAATAAATAAGTTATGGTTCAGAATTCATATGTTCTACACAAATATTATTATTTATGTACATCTATTAAATATATGTAATTATGCATGTTATGAGAATAATTATAAATATATCAAATCAGTGCCACTGAGCGTTTAGAATGATGAGTTTTTAGTAACCTAATGCAATGTATTTTGCGAAATCATAAATCATAAAGAAAAAGTTGGAAATCATTCAAAAGTTCATTATTATTTAATAAAGAAAAAGAAAATGGTCCAATGTCATTATATTTTATCTAACAAAAAATCAATTTTTTCTCAATAGATATAAGATTTATTTAGCAAATGCATAATAAATTGTACAAATTTGTTTATTGTGCTCACAAGTAATTATATTATTTTATCACAAAATTTTCTATAAAATTGTTTACAAGTAATATATACAATGTTAGATGATAAGAAATAAGCGGATATGTCTGCTTTGTATATATCCAAGTAAAAGTGTCTATAAAAATAGATATATAGAATCTTGATTCTTATATATCAAAGATATAAAGAAAAATCATTTAAACGCAAAAACTGAATTTGATGAAAATATTGTTTATATTTTAGCTATTAAACAACTATTTGTGAAAAGTACTAAACTACATTGTATATGTACAAGTATATTCAGTTTCTGTATTCTTACAGGATATGAAAAGGCAATATTATTTCATGGACATCTAAGGAACAAAAATATATATACATATATATATACGTATATACATACATACATACTCATATGAAAGGAAGCAAAGAAAAGCCTAGCTTCTAATTTTCACTAATAAATTACAAGAGTGAAAGTACATAGTAAATATTTAACTCATAAAGAAGAATCTGAGAATTTCTAGGAATCTAAACTACACACAGATTTATTCTGTAAAGGTCTAAGAAATATTTCCTTAAGGAAATCTGTTCTCTGATATTAAGAACTGTTTCGTGTATGTACATTAACATATGTGTTTCACGAACTCAAGATGCGTCTTAACGATGGTCAATCATTTATTTAAGTGAAAAAAGCAGGTTGTACATTTTTGCCAGGATGATGCTTGTACAGTATTTTTAATTCAAAGTTCACAAAACCTGGCACTGATCTGTTTTTTACCTTCGACTTTCGATTATAGTTACAGAATACATATAATTACTTTGCCCAGATTTATACACCGCATTAGCTTTATCGTAAGCTCAAGTGGTCGTGTCATATGCGTCTCGTTTATCGAAGCTTTATTTTATCTCTATTGTAATGTATTTTACAAATGTCTTCAATATATATCGATATATCTATGATTATTAAAATGTTAAATTTTTATTTTTTTACGCTTAATTCTTTGCTGTATTCTGTGTTTAAACTGATAGCGTTCCTCGAAGTTGTGTCTCTAAGTTTGTTTGATCTATATATCGCAAAGAGTTAAGCGAACATTTTAAAGAGAATTTTATTTTGAAAATTATGCCTCGATAGATTTACTCTTTGAGATTTAGTGCATCTTTGAAATTCTTCTATTTTGCCTTTGGACATTATTTGGCTCGTAAGGATTTATGAATAAAGATTAATAACAAGTATTAATACATAAGTATTCACAGTAATAAATACATACGAGCATTAATTGGAAATAATAACATATTAGCTTTATTTTTTGAGGCAAATAGGAGAATTAAATTGTTTCTCAAAGAGTTAATCCTTATATTTTTTACGAGATGCATGTGAACTTACAAAGTCGTTGATACTCTTAAAATTTTTGATGCGTTAAGAAAACAAATTTAGCTAAACTCGTTCTATCGAGTATTCTTTTCTTACATAGAAGCGACATTTGAAGATGTACTGAAATAAAAATTTTTCTGTAAAAAAGTGTAGAAATACTTTAAGATATATATTAGATATTAGTTGTGTAAGTTTTGGCATGCTACTGAAGTGTAAAAACTGGGTGAAGAATTGCAGCCATGTACATTTTGCGCTGCTCTATTTCACTTTGCCCGCTTATTAATCATGTAACAAGGTGTTTATTTCTATTAAAAAAAGCAACAAAGTGTGATTACATAACTATATTCATCTATAAATCTAATATTACTAGTTTATAATAAATATATTTGTACTAATTTTAATCATAAACTTTGTTGTTTTTATTGCACTATAAATATAAGTTAGATGAAAGCATAGTATGTTAATTTACCTTTTTTAATTTGTAATTGCTTAAAAAATAATAAACTGCTGTATGACAGTGGCTTCATGAAACTTTAAAAAAGTATATTAATACCGTTTAGTAATTCATTTTTAATTTTATTTAAAAAAATAAGTTTTTGTATAGAATAATATTATAAATAATTTTGAATTTTTTTAGTATTAATATTTTATTACCATTTAAAGTATAATGTAAGCTTAAGTAGTACTTGAAGTTTAAGTAATACTATATAGAACCTATATTAATAGCTATTTACATTCTTCTGTCATAATTTGAAACAAAAGTAAAAATATGTCATTTATATGAATGCATTGCACACTTTTTACTATTTTTAAACTTTCTCTAAAATTTTTATTTAATATGAGTTAAGAATACATGTATATACGTATAGTAGAATTTCATAAATTCTCTATAATTAGTAACAATATTTAATAAATATAAAAATTTCTTATAATATGTTGTGCAAAAGTATTGTATATTCTATTCGAAAAAGTCCAAAACCTCGTCGTAAGTACAAAGTAACTATATTGAAAATATTACAGAAAAAAATCATATCATTTTAATATATTATATTTAATAAATAATATACATAGAATATCATAATGTGCCAAAAGCACCATTACCTGGAGAACCAATGAAACCATATACACTTACTGAAATTCCTGGACCAAGGTCAGATGCTCTTCTCAATGAATTTTCTAAAATTCAGGTTTATATTATTATGACAAGATATAAATTTTGTTAAAAAATAGCACACATTAATATAATATAATTATAACATATTGCAGCAAATAGGCTCCATTCAATATTTTGCAGATTATCAAAGATCTGTTGGAAATTATTTAGCAGATATAGATGGAAATGTTTTTTTAGATATGTTTATGCAACTTTCTACTCTTCCTCTTGGATATAATCATAGATCAATTCTTGGTGCATTATCTTGTGCAGGAAATCAAGTAAATATAATTCCAAATTATTATATTGGAATTATTATATTCACAAAATTAATTAAAAAAAATATCAATATAATAAATTTGTAGCGAATAATGGCAAACAGACCTGCATTAGGTTTATTCCCTGGTTTAGAATGGCCATGTAAATTACAGGATACGTTGCTTCAACCATGTGTAAGATATTTCTATTTATAAAATTTAAAAAATATTTATTTTGTCAATGAAAATAAAATTAAAAATAATTAAAAATAGTAAATAAAAAGGAATTTGTTAAATATAATACTATTTATCAGGTAGCTCCAAAAGGATTACAATGTGTTTTTACAACTAATTGTGGTGATTGTTCAACTGAATATGCTATGCAAATGGCATTTATAAAATATGCAGAAAGACATCGTCAAGGCAATAAGTTTACAAAGAAAGAAAAAGAAAATGCACCTTTTAATAAACCACCTGGTTGTCCTGAGTTGTCAATTCTTTCCTTTGAAGGTACCTTAATGTAGTGTTGTAATATATCAACACTATAAATTGATGAAATTTATAAAATTAGGAGGATATCATGGTAGAACATTTGGTGCACTGGCATTAACACATTTTAAATACATAATGAAAGTTGATATACCTTCTCTTCCATGGCCAATTGCACCTTTTCCACAATATTTGTATCCATTGGATCAGTATGAAAAAGAAAATAAGGAAGAGGATGCAAGATGCATAGAACAAGTAAATTTAATATTTATAAAGTTCAAATTAATTTTATTATTAAAAATTGATAAAATTTACATCAAAATATAAAAGGTAGAAAATTTAATAGAACAATTTGAAAAGAAAATGCCAGTTGCTGGTATCATAGTTGAAGCAATACAATGTGAAGGAGGAGATAGACATGCTTCTCCAGATTTTTTTCAGTGTTTACAAGATATTTGTAAAAAAGTAAAAACATTTAATATATTATTTATATTTTTAAAAAATAAGATTATTGTGAATATATTGAAAATTATAATATAAATATAAACTTCACAGAAATCTATTCCTTTAATATTGGATGAAATACAAACAGGAGGTGGTGCAACAGGAAGAATATGGGCACATGAATATTTTGAATTAAGTATTCCTCCTGATATAGTTACCTTTAGTAACAAAATGCAAGCTAGTGGATTTTATCATTCTTATGAATATATGTAATATATTTATTAAAAATGATAGCATTTAAATAGATCAAAATCTTATTAAATTTATTATATATTTTTTATTTATTTAGGCCTAAACTTCCATATAGAATTTTTAATTCATGGATGGGTGATCCAAGTAAAATTCTAATATTAGAGGCAGTATTACAATCTATTGAAACAGAAGACTTATTAAGTCATGTTTGTCATGTCGGCAATTATTTGCTTTGTGAATTAAACACATTACAACACGAATTTCCGCATCTTATGAATTCTGTAAGAGGTAGAGGTTTTATTATTGCATTTGATATGCCATGCAATGATATAAAAAATAAATTTTTGCATCTGATACGTAGTAAAGGTAATATCAAAATTTTAATATATATATATTTCAAAATTTATATATTCTATCTTCAAAAATAAATTTGCACATTAGGTATTCAAGTGGGTGAATGTGGAATAAAATCAATTCGGTTAAGACCATGCCTAATATTTGGAGAATATCATGCTGATATTTTTTTAGAAATTCTTCGCAATTGTTTGCAAGAACTTACAGATAGCTGATATATTTGTAATTTATATTTTACTTATTATGTATGATATATTTGTTAAATATATACTTCAATATAAAAATATATATTTTATAATTTTATTACGTATACCAATTAATTATTAAATAAATAATATAATAACAATAATTATAATAATAATGTAGTAATAATAAAATTTTAATTCATTAAGTTTAAATAAAATTCAAATATCGCGGTTGCAATTACATTAAGTCCGATCAAGGACTAAGAGTATCATTTATATAAGTATAAGGAAGATCGATATCAGCATGGCGGTAAAAGAGCGGCTCTATTCAGCGTGATTGGAAATGAAGATTATTATGGCTCAGATTTTATATTATATAATAGGAAAGTGCATTTCTATTGAAGTGCATTTTTCGTGTTGTTTAATAGCATCTTAAAGGAGTAAGAATAAAACAAAAAATACAACGTTAAGTTTGTTTTTATAAGTGAGAAAAGAAAACTTAAAAAAAAAAAGCTTGAAATTACAATTGACAATTGAAACTGAAGTTCTCAACCCCGGTATATTGAAGCGTAAACAATCACCATGGCAAAGTACGAAGATATTGCATAACATTAGCCTTATCTAATTATAGCAGCATAGAAAGTGCATCTTTAATTCAATGATAATGCTTTGTTTACTATTTCACGCTGTAAACTGTATTGCTATTACACCTGATTCATTGGTTGATCTTTCGGCGGCATGTCCCTTTTTAAATCTTTAATTTTTGTCAAAGAGAATGCTAATTTTAAGTTGGTGTGAGTTTATAAATTATTAATTAAAAAATTTGTGTACTTATATTTTTTTATAACACTTATAATACTTTTATTTTCTTAATTAATGAATTTATAATCATTATTTTTCATTATTTATTTAAAATAATATATTTTTTTTATTTTAGATTTACTTCGTAGTTTTTGAAAAATTATTGATATTTTACATGTTTGTGTGTGTGTATGCTATAAATAATTGTTATTTATTTATAATTTTATTGTTTTATCTTTAGCATATTATAGTATAAAAATAGTGTAAATAAAACATATAAATATTTCTTTTATATTTGTTGAATGTAATAATATATATAAAGATACATATAAATACATATATTACATACATATATATAAATATATATTGTTTTTGTTTTAAAACATGCTAATTTTAAAACATGCTACATTTACATTCTTCATATTATTTCATTATTAATGATTATATTTTTTTATTTAGTGAAGATTAAATTTAAAAATTTTGCATACTAACAATGTATATTATACAAATAAATAAAATAATATATATAATTTTCATAAATATGAATAAATCATTATTTTCAACAATTTTTATTTAATTTTTATTAAACTTATTGCTTCTTCAAATATTAATAATATTCTTTTATTATATGTAGTACACAATACTAAATTTAAAAGATGTATTCTAAACCTGTAATCTTATCTCTTTTATTTTGTTATCGGTTATTGGTGCAGCTAATCAGTAATTTTTTGTTCATAATTGTTTACTTCATAGACCTATTCATGTACAGAATTAAAACAAGTTGTAGACATTAATATTATATCTATGATTTTATAAAAATGAAAATTAATAGAATTGATAAACAATTATATAGAACAGTTTTATCAATTATTTCAGAAGGGTAAGCTATTTCATTTATAAAACAAAATCATTTTATTTATACTTAACATTTTATATCTATAATTTATATTACATAATTATACTATTATTTATAAATTAATATAATATATAAATGATAAATTGATTTCGATTTCTTTTTTTTTTTTTTTTTTTTTAGAGAGATGATGATAGTATTTGTTTATGACACTATACGATGTTGTAAAGAAGATGACGATCCTGCAGAAGCAGTTATGTATTTTCATCCTGCATGGGTATCTCTTACCCAAAGGTTAGCTTTAGCAGGTCAACTAATGGCTATTAATCAATTTCTTTCAACTTCATTTTCCAATCCAAAATCAATTACATTACAAGGAGGGAAATTTGTATTAAAGAAATTTGGTCAATATATACTTGTAAGTATATTATTATTACATTTTTTCTTGATATAATTATAATTAATAAATTAAATAAATTAAACTTATTTATAAAAATAATTTATAAAATAAAAAAATGATTTAAAATAAGCATAGAAGAATTTGATTTTAATTACAATATATAATTATTATAATATGAAAGTTATATAATATATTATACATAATTTGACAATAATTATCTTTATTTAAATTCTTATAATTAATATATATATATATATATTTATAATGAATAAAATATAATATTTTTTTTATTGCTTTAATATTATTTATATTTATTATTTACAGGCAGTTGGAACTGATAGAAATATTCATGATTGGATTCTAGAAAGACGTGCGAACACATTAGAATCATTATTAAAATTCTTTCATTATGATTTAAATAAAATATTGGAGTCATTTAATAATGACAGGAATAAATTTACAGAGAAACTTTATCAAATGTTTGAAACATATTTGCCAATACTTCAATACAGTGCCAATCTTTTTTCCAATATTCCTATTATTAAACTTCCTAAGGTAATTAATATAAAAAATATATGATATTAATTTTTAAATTTTAAATTATTATATTAAATTATATTAATATATTAGTATTATTATATTAAATATTTATTGTTAATATAAATATAATAAGTCAGTATTATATTTTTTTTAGAGTGCTAGTAATATATTTTTAGAAGCAATTCAAGTTTTACAATATTTTCAAGAAATTAATGGTATTATAGGTGGTGCACTCTTTTATAATAACAAGTAAGTTAAATACTAATAAATAAATTATATAAATAAATAAATATAATTATATAATTAGATAATAAATATTTCTTTAATAATTTATATATAATTGTACATAAAATATAAATATTTTAGAGTAGTTGCAACTCAATTGAGCGCTGAATTGACCAAACAAATTGTTATAACTGATCCATATAGAATAAAGGTATATTAGACTTAATGTAATTTAATTTTTATATAATGTATAAAAAAATTTTTGAAATCAATTGTTTATATTTTATAATTAATTTTTTATAATTATTTTTTAAAATTTTTTTAGGCTCCCGCAGAAAGAATATCAACAGAATTTCATTTACCTGTGGGAGTACAGTTATTACAAGTATATATAGAACAAAAACAATTTATAAAACTTACACAAGAAGCAAATAATGAACGATATTACAGTTCTTATTTAGATTCTGTTACTAAAAAAATATCGCAAAGAAAGGTAAGCAATATTTAAAAACATAAAGTATTTATTAATTATCTAATAATGAATAATAATAATTATATTTTTAGAACATGTCTAAGAACAATAAAGAACCTCCTTTGTCTGGGATGAAACGAGATACTTCTCGTATTTTTACTGTACCTGAAGAAGGAGAATTAGATTCATCACAATACAATGATAATAGTCACTATATATCCTCTGTTCCATTAACAGCTTATAGTTCTCCAGTGAAACGTAAACAGGAAAGTAAAACAGACCGTCCTAAATGTATAAATCCTTTGACTCCTAGCGTGTGCTCTACGCCTTTGAGAGATATTAATAGAGTATTACATGGTAATGCTGTATTAATATGTAACACAAACGAAGATACAAATAATGAAATAGAGGAAGAAAAAAAAGAAATAAAGATAAATGTAGATGATATTCCAGATGTCGTTAAGGAAGCACTTAGATGTAAACGTTTAAATAAATTAAAAACCGTTATTCCAAAAGAAAAAATTTTTAAACGGAGAGAATTTAATAAGAAAAGCTTAAGTATGCATGATTTAGAATCATCTAATTTGTGCTCTACTCGAATATCAGTAAGAACATATGGATTAGGATTGCCACAGTTAAAACAAAGTATATCTCCTGAAACTTCTCCTCAAAAAAAACCATTATATAAAAAACAATTTCATACAATTACTGATCCATGTTATCCTGTATTTCGATGTGATGGATTACCAGCATCTCAATCTTTATACGAACAATACATATCTTCGCATTATGAAGAACTGAAGGATGATCGAAATAATACAATTAATCGTAATGATTTTTTAACAAATTTAACTAATAATTGTAACACAAAAAATATAATGAACAATTGTGATACTATAATCAATGATAATTTAGAAAAATCAAGTAATTCCCGCGATATAAAATTAGATAATAAAGTAAAACAAGAAACTTATCGTAGATCGATGAGTCTTCCTTTGAAACCACTTAATATTACTGAAAATGATGATAGACGAAAATCAGCAACAGAATGTGGTAACGTATATGATTTTCTTCAAAAAAAAAAACTGGATGGTTTACAATTAACTCCTCTTATGTCTAAACTTAGTTTACTTGCTGATGAAAGAACTAGTGGTTTTTGTAGTAGAGAAACAACTCCTAGCGAATTTCGCGATTTATCTGGCTTTTCGACAGCAACAAATCAAATGATTAAACAAAAATTGGAAGCAGTTAATAAAGAAACTGGTAGTGATGATGAAGATGAATTGGAAGAAGATTGGATAACTACTTCCAAGAATGATGTTTGTCTTGAAAAAACAGAATTATTTCTCTGTGGACATCATAACATGGTATTGGTATTGTTAATGGAAAATGGAACTGCTAATAATCCTGATCTTATACATTCTCTCGTAAATATATTTTATTTTCTTTAACATTTAATATATTAATTTTTAAATATATTAATTTTAATACATATTATGATAATATATATTACAGTGGCAAACTTGTGTGAATACTTTAGGGAAACTTGAAGTAAGATTGCAACAATGTTTAGAGCCTTTGCCATCAACTGAAAATAAAGAATTATATAGTATTTTAAGTATTGATCCTCATTGGGATACAGTAAACCGTTCTGGACTTTGGGGTGTTACTGAATTAGACATTGTTTCTTGTCTTCATGATAGATTTACACATGCCAGTAATCTTACAGATATCACTGTCAGGTAATTATTAAATATTTTAGTTTATTTAGTTCATT